AAGCCAGACAGGCTTAATTGGCAATTAGGATTTAAAAATGGTAATGAAAGACAAAATAAGAAGAGATTAGAAGAGATCATAACTTGAAGATAAAACAGCATGCAAATTGCATGATACAACTGGAAAAAGTTCAAAGATGGGCAAAAAAATGATGAGCAAGGCAATGGGATGGCTTCCTACATGAGAGTTAGACTTCTGTTCTGGAAAAAGGGAACTGAGATATGAGCAAGATCTAGCAAACAGGGCTTCCAAACACACCAAGGGAGAGAGTCCTTTATACCTGGTGTGCATCAGTTGTCAGACTCCTGGCTGTGGCTTGTTGTGATCTGTCAAAGTGTACATGGATTCCCAGCGGAGTTGGAGAAGTTCAGAGAAGACAAATCCACTGAGAGCTACTGGGTACATAGAAACCACATCTAGCTCAGCGTGTCCATAAGCAGCTTAAATGTCTTGAAAGAATGTCTTGAAAACGTCACACACTTCTGCAGTTCTCACTCTCTTCTCCTGACCAAGGCTTTCGGACACTGTCAGAGACAGGATCCAAAGCTGGAGGAATCTGCTCCAGCTGGAGGAAGCTGGAAGCTTATGCTCAGTGTGGCATGATCTCTCTCCTATTTTTGAGTCTAGTAGCAAGCTGAAAACCTTACTTTTCATTTGGATCTACAACACTGTAACAAAAAGGGGAAAAAAAAAAAAAGCTCTCGTTAACTTGAGAGCGATTCAAAAAACAGATAGGATGGTTTGGGAAATAGCCCGAACCCATTCTTCCTGTCCTTGCTTTGGGGGTAAAAGAGCCCCAAAATGCGGTGCTATAACAAAGTTACTTTGACTTCATGTAGTGTTGCTGCACCAACACTCCTTCCCAATAGCACCAGGGTGGGGGGAACGAGGCAGCACCTCACCAGTGTGAGGCACCTCAGGGGCAGTGACCGTGTTCGGGGACCTGGCCCCGGGAAAGGCTGAGGGCACCAGGTGTGGGTCTGACTTGCAAAAGCTGCTGTAACCAGATAGCACGAGCCATGCAGCTCCTGCTCCTCAGTGTTTGATCTTCAAAAGCCCAGGTGGAGCAGCTGGCTTTACACAGCCTGGGCAAAACACACTTTGATGTCTCCAGAATCCCCTCCCTAAGAGCAGTCAGTGCTAGACTCCCTCTGCCAAAGCCCAGCCACAGGGTCCTGCAGAGCCTGTCCCTCGCCGTGCCAGGCAGGACCCGGGCAGGCCTGTGCTCTGTGGCCATCAGCCTCCCCCACCTCCCTCCCTCTGCCTGAAGTTTTATTTGTTTATTATTTTCCTCTCCTTCACGGGGCCGTCTTGCATTTTTTCCCACTTCACCCTCCTCCTCCATCCCAGCCCTGCGCTTTGCTTATTGGTCACAGCAGGGAGAGCCCTGTGATTTTCTATAAAACCAATAGCTCCATTCAGAGAAACCTCAGCAAATCACCAGGAGGAAGAAACATCCTCTTGCACACGAGCTCATGCACAGAAGCCAACACAGGATCCAAACTACTGTGGCTCCCCCAGGGCCCACAGAACATGCTCAGCTGCCTGCTCAGACAGAAGGAGCCATAAGGGGGAAAGAAGCTGATACCAGAAGCATCAGAAGTTCAGAGCCACGAGGAAGGTAACTTATTTTACCGGAAAATCTTTGCTCTTCCATGCACTAATTCTCAAGCAAAATGATTGTGCTTCAATGTGAATTTTTGCATGTTCGTCTTCCTCTATGGGCTTCCAATCTGGGTGAGATGTTAAAGGGATCGTGGTGCCTGAGCAAGGTCTAACAGGTGGGTAGGGAGAGGGTGCATGAGCTGGAAAAGGAGTCCAGGATATTTCTAGATGAAAGCTTTAATCCTGCCTCTGCTCTGGGAACAGGTTGTGTTCAGGTCGGGAGAGAAGTGTGGAAGTGATATAAATATGACCTTTTTTTTCTCCTCACTCAAAGCTTTAATCCTGCCTCTGCTCTGGGTTGTGTTCAGGTTGGGACAGAGGTGTGGAAGTGATATAAATATGAGCTTTCTTTTCTCCCCACTGGTGGCATTTTCCCTGAAGGAGATGTTGAACTTCAGGAAAGGTCCCTTTTGCGCTTGGTGAGGTTAGCCTTGCAGGAGAACACACGCTCTTGTGCTCCAAGTTGCTCCTGAGTGCAGCAGGTGCCCTGCTACGGGCAGGCAACGTGCGGTGAGGAGTGGAGGGGTTGAGATGAGCAACCTCCGTGGGAGGAGCTGCCTTCTCCTCTACCTGTGCACATCACCCTTCAGGTGAAAGCAGGGTGCAGGGGAGGCCAGCAATGCTTGTCAGTCTAACCTCATGCCTGGGCATTATTCTCCTGATGTCCCTGTCATAACTCCAGGGATTCAGCTGGGTTTTGGACCCAGCACAGCCAAAGAATGATCTTCATTTTTATGTGTTCAAGCCATTTACTGAGAAAGGAGCCCAAGTCAGTGCAGGTGTCACTTCAGGTACACGGTCAGTTCCTCAAATGATCAGCAACAGGAGCAAGGCAGAGCGGATTTTAGGTCAAGTGATGCTGTCGTTGGCTTTACATCTGCTGGGTGGTGAACAAGCCCACAGACCTGCATTTTTCCTGTCACTGACAGAGGGTGATCCTCTCCTTTTTGTCTAAGCACTCTGAGATATGTGAGAAGAGAGGCAATATGGAGAGGAAGAAGTAAATGAGCTAAAGGGCTGTTGAACAGGAGAAAACAATGCTCCTTTTTTTACTAAATCCTTGGGTTTTAATGCAAGAGGGGGGAAAAGAGGATTTTTTTTTTTTTTTGGAAATGGCTCTGCAACTGCATTGTCGAGAGGACAGGCCGGATATAGCGAGTTGTGTCCTGTGATCCTTACTCACATGAGCTGTTCTGCCAAATACCCAGGGGCTGAACAGCCACATCGAGCTCTGTAGTTCTGCATCCGTGAGAGCAGAGAGGAGCAGCCCAGCCAGCAAAAGGCACAGGACACGGCTTTCTGGAGATGCTCTGTAACCATTCTGTCAGCTTCTGGCTTCAGGAACCAGCATCTTTCTTAAAGACCCCAGCCCGGCCTGATGACTGCATGGGTGCCCAAATGACAGGCGCTTCTGCTGTCCTCTGCTGCTCACTGGCCCTAGAGAACCACAGACAGACGCTGATTTCTATGTTAGGTCTGCACCTAACTTAGGGGGACATGCTGAGCCCAGAGGAGGTTCTAGGACCTTCATTCTTCATGGTGGAAGTAGGTGGAACTGCCTGCTAACGACTCCTCAGCTTTCATCAATATCTCTCCAAAGAGTTGGGGTTTTTGGGTTTGTTTTGTGGAAGGAGGCTCCTTACCCAGATTCCTTAGTAGCCAGCTGTTCTGCAGCCTCTCTTAGTCCCTCCCCATAGCATTTTATATTGGCTAACCCAGGTGATAAGCTGGTACCCCACCATCCATCCCTTCCTTAGGCACTTAGTTCTCCCCATGTGAGATGGACAGGAAGGGCTGAGGGTTTCCCCAGTCTTAAGATAACTTTGTGCTTAGGATTTACAGACCTATAGATTTTTGAGAGCTGAGTGAGGCATGAGTGCTTTTCCCAGCTCTCCTGGCGAGTCTTCTCTCTAAATGCTCTCCAAGTCATTGAAAATGGCTTTCTTTCCACCACAGGCAAGCAGGTAGCTTTGCAGTGTCTGTTCTGGCTCACACCAGTGGGGACTATCTGCTGGTTAAGCTTGCAAAGCTGTTTTGAGTGCACAGATGAAAGGCACAGTGAACACTCAAGATGACTCTGCACGACTATTTTAGCAGATAAAAGCAAGCTGGTTCTAAGCTGAAAAGTGATGGGATCTTTTACTTTCCTCTGTGAAGCCATAGCTAATGTGCCATTCTAACTTGAGGATTTCAAATAGAAACACTTTTAAGATGCCTTGCTATAATGGAGCTAAAAACTTAATTATCCATTTCATGAGATCTGTTTGAACTGTGATTGAAGGAACTTGAATATTTTCTTGTCTCTTTGACATGCAAGTGGGAATAAGTTTTAAATTTCTTCCTAAAGCTTGTTTACAGCTTAAAGCATTCAGGAACTGACTGAAGGATGTAAAACAGTCAGAAAAAACTAAGCCAAATCAAAGATTTCTTGGCACAAGTAACAGGGTGAAACAGAAAAAAAAGATATGCCTGGTTAGACTGGTTCACTGGGAAACAACCCAGCTTCACACGGATTATGCTGGAGTCTTCTGAACAACCAGAAATGCACAGGCATTTCTACAGAACCTGATTTGTGTCTCTCACACATGCGAGGATACAGATGCAGCTGTATCTAGAGGATCTGTGTTTGTGCATGGCACTATGCTGCTGCCAACATGCAGTGCCATGAAGAGATTAAGACCTGGGATGTGCTTTGAGATCTGTAGGTCTATGAGCAGGCTAAATGTCCTTTTAAAGATCCTGTGTAGCAAAGTCATCCCATGCACAGACTGGCAGGATGCTGATAGCTTCCACTAGCTTTCTGGTCTCATAGCCAACCAGTGGCCATATCTGGATCATCCAAAAGCCACTTCTGTAAATTTTTTTATCATGCCAGAACAACACTACAGCCATCCTAAAGCCTCTCAAAAGCCACAGGTGTTTGTGGAGCAGCAATGTGTCCAGTTCTGTTTGGAAGCCCTTTCTGAGACTTGCAAAGCAGAATCTGCTCAGGGGATATTTACTCCAGCCTTGGTCAGCTCAGCAGTCAAAACTGCAAACAACAGGGAGATTTATATCCCTAGGAATTGAGCTGAATGGCATAGCGGTTTGGGGAAGGAAGTGGTTCAATTAACAACGATGAAGATGGAGAAGGAGAGGGGATTCTCTTTGCACATAAATTGGAATAAGATGTCAGGTATTGATACAGCATTTCTGGAAAAGCCCTTGTGGTATTTTCCCAGTATGGTTCCCAGCAAGGATATGTTGAGTCTTTACTCTTTGCACTAAAAGATGGCACGTGGATCTGTTGATCTAACCAGTTTCCACCCCTTATCCATTTCTTCAACTACAGATTAAATCAAGACCCAAGCAAAGACATACCATGAGCCTTGTAAGGAATCCTGCACCAGGACTCAGCTGGGCTTTGCCATTTCAGCCTTCAATGGCGAGAATCCCAGCTCCTGCAGCTCTAGCCGCTTCTCTGACTTTGTTCTTCTCAGGGGCATGCGGCCAGACCTCAAGGGCTTTCCAGGAAAGCACCATTCCCTTTGAGGTGCTTAGCCAAGGGCAAGCTTATGGTCTTGTCCACCCAAGCCTCTTCCAGGATGTCAAATTTTCAAACCACTCCGAGAGTCTCCCCAGGAGCACTGAGACTGAGGCACCTCTGCTGCCTGTGTGTGTGAAGCCTGCAGATATTAGACACATCTTCAAGTACATTAACACCATTGTGTCCTGCACCATCTTCATAGTGGGAATCATTGGGAATTCCACGCTCCTGAGGATCATTTACAAGAACAAGTGCATGAGGAATGGACCAAATGTCCTCATTGCTAGCTTGGCCCTTGGGGACCTTCTCTACATCCTCATCGCTCTGCCCATCAATGTGTATAAGGTAAGTTGCATGTAGCGTGAATGTCACATCAGCCTTGCAATTGCAGGAATGAGCGCGGCTCCCGCATGTCCAGTCCCTGGGCAAAATCCATCCTCTGCTCTTCACTGCAAGCTCCGTTTTTGCAAAGGAGAGGGGGAGGCTCATAATTTAATAATTTAAAACCCCAGGAAGAGAATCACTTGTGGTCCCATAACATTACAACCCGAAATTGATTTCAGCCGAGCAAATACTGTTCTTTCTGTGCACTGGAGAAAACTCTCCCAGCACTGCTCAGTAAGCTGGCCTCAAGCAAATATGTGTCTTATCCTAGCTAAGATTGAGGACTCATTCAGGAATAAACAGCTGCAATTATAAAATAAAGGCTTTTTAAGAGACACTGCTCCCCAAGCTGGAGAAAAAGTGCATGACAAATAGGCAGGTCGACCTGAGCTCTGCATGCCACACCAAGGCAGAGAGGGCTGGGCAATGTGGGCGTTAGACCTGAGGCACAAGTTAAGAGCAGAAGTTAGGCTGCAACATCTGTGTGATGTGCCTGGACCATTGCAGCTACTTCTTGCCTGCCAAATGAGAAAGTTTTTGGTGGACTGGAATCATTGGGGACTCAGGATTATAGGAATGGCTGGAAGGATGCCTTAGAGCTCAGTCGGCTTTGCTTGTGGGGAAGTCTTTAATCTTCAGCCTAGAAAGCAAAAATTGAATCCTAGAGCGTTCCTGGAGCAAACAGGCCAGGTAGCAGGGAGAAATTCAGAGCAGGAGGAAGATGTGAATATGCTGACTGTGAGAACCACCACCCATGGTTGTCATTCTGGTCACTCTGAATAGATACATTTTTAACAAAATTGCATCAAAAACTAGACGGATTTTAGATCCAAAAAAATCTTTTGAGGGAAGTAATTCTGCCAGGTTCTCCAGGTGGCCAAGTCTGAAAGCCAGACAGTCCTCTCTGATACCAGTACATGGATCCACACACAGGATTTCAGTCACACGTGAGTCTCCTCCTATCATCAGCTGAGAAAACAGAGTAGCTTGTGGCCAACAACACTGGCCTCTCTTCCACACTCCTTCACTCTTCCTCCTCCTTCATGGATTAGAGCAAAGGCCTTGTATACAGGGCAGCTCATTCTTAACACAAGCTGTTGGTCTGGAAATATTCAGCCATTTCAGAGCTGCAAGTAGCACAACTTGCAGCTGACGCAAGAAAAGGCCAAGATATTTTGTCCATGCTCAGTCCTTGCATTAATGTTTCCTGCCTTTTGGTGGGAAAACTGGGCCAAAAGCCCAGAGACAGGACTCTGTTCCAGCCATACACTGATATTTCCCAACTGATGCTTTTGATTTTCCTAGTCCACTTGAGCATCTCCCTCTGCCTTCTGAACCTCACCTTCCAGCCACCTATTGGGGAAGCTGATGCTTCTTTGAGAAGCCCAAACTATAAGCCATGTGATTCTAAGAGTAGTCCAGTTGCCTCATTTGTGCTGTGTCTTCTTATGAGACCAACTTGATTCTTTTCAACTGGTGGAGTCTCTGTTCACAGACATTTGGGGTCTGAACTTGTTTCTTTGTCCAGTAAGCAACTGGGAAGATTGGGTGCAATTTGGTTCTCTGAAGAAACAAGACAAGAAATCAAGTTAAGTTCATTGTCCACTGGATAAATCCTGATCCTCTTGAAATCCACTTAGAAACAAATGTTGCTTCTTTGGCTGTATCTGAGAACAAAAGCCCCTTCCTTTTTGATAGTGACCTAAAGCGCAGGCTTTTAGGACACACACTCATCCAAAACCACGCAGAGTTTGGATTCAGCACCTGGTGTCTCGACCATCCTTCCAAATTTATTTTACAAGTCCTCGGGAAAGTAAATGGTTCCCAGTTCTACATAAAGCACCAGAGAGCACGCACCGCATAATCCCAGGGGAGGTAACCTCAAAGCTCTTTCAGTTGCTCTTTGTGGGCTTCTCTCACCCTGCGGGTAACCACCTCCTATTACGGGAAGCTGGACATGGTTTCCCAAAGCAGTCTGTTAACCCTGTGGTTCTTCCCCAGCTCTTGGCAAAAGACTGGCCCTTTGGCGTGCAGGTGTGCAAGCTGGTCCCGTTCATCCAGAAGGCATCAGTGGGCATCACAGTTCTCAGTCTTTGCGCCCTCAGCATTGACAGGTAATAAAAAAACTTCTATTGCTGCATTGCCTGCCTGGAACATACTTAACCATGGCATGTCCCTTCATTGTCACCAACGGACGGAGTGCAGGGCAGCCTGTTTTCACTCCAGGCTAAAATTCAGGAAGGGCACTGAATGCTGTCACACAAAGTTGATATCCACCAGGAACTGACTCTTCTTTGTGGAGATACAGCTCAAATATTGCCAAAAAAACATTGAGGGAATGAGCATGACATGTTGGAACATGCTGGGTTGATGGGATGGGTGGCACCTCTCCCAGTGGAGTAGGGCAGATACACACAGGACCAGGATGCCTACTATCACACTCACCCTTTTGGTGGTGTCTTATAAGCCCATTTCTGATTCTTCTCATTCCACTGAAGGATGCTCCTGGGTCTGTTTCTGTTCAGAAATTAAGGAGGAAGAGGTAGGAGAAAGGGCCTTTGGAAATAACTCTTAATTTCCATCTTATCAACCTCTTCCTGTTGTTTGTCTTGCTTCTCTCTGTTCCCTCCCTCTTGTGTTTCCTCGTGTTTGGCAGGTACCGAGCAGTGGCTTCCTGGAGTCGGATCCAGGGGATCGGAATTCCCATGTGGAAGGCAGTTGAGGTGACGCTCATCTGGGTAGTGGCCATTGTGCTTGCAGTCCCTGAAGCTATAGCCTTTGACATGGTGGAGCTCAACTACTGGGATCGGGACCTGTGGGTGTGCATGCTCTCCGCCGAGCAGAAATCCAGCTTCATGATGGTGCGTACTCTGCCCAAATAGAGCTGCAGCATGAGAGAGCAAGACAGGCACATGGGGCATCCTCCCTCATGGTTTACACAATTTGGTGCTTCTGCAGATGGCTTCTAGCCATCAGGGTGAACGTGGGGAAAGCAGTATCAGACAAAACAAGGGAGGCCCGGCATTGTACTGACACAGGGCGGTCTTGCTGCCAATGTGGGATCAAAAAATGGGGAGCTGGACCTTAAGCTGGCTTGTGTTCACTGTCCACTTCAGAAGGCTGTGCCCCATCTCAGTAAGCTTCAAAACCCACGTCACTGCCATGACAGATCAAGGGACAGCTCCAGAACCATCTGCTTGAGTAACAGTTAGCACAAGACCAGCTAAGGGACAGAATGGGAATTAAAAAGGCATACAAACTTCCTGCCTGTCTGCCAAAAGAAGCTCCTTTCAGTTGCCTCTTTGGCAATGGACTGGCTGCTGTGGGAGTGAGGTGTGCTGGAGCATGTGACCTGAAATTTTCTGAGACACCAGTTTTGGGAAAGAGAATCCAATATACACTCAAAACAGGGGTTGTTAACACTTTCTCACATCAGAAGTGTCAGAATGGTCTGATGTTGGTCAGCATCAGGCTCAGCTGCCAGGTCAGCTCATGCCTCAGCTACCCCCCCATGCACACACACCCTCCTCCTAGGTTTCTAACTCATGTCCCTCTCTGTTCTGCATGCAGTTCTATCGTGACGTGAAGGACTGGTGGCTTTTTGGCTTCTACTTCTGCCTCCCCTTGGTCTGCACCGGCATCTTCTACACCCTCATGTCTTGTGAGATGTTGAGCAAGAGAAATGGAATGAGAATTGCTCTGAATGACCACATGAAACGGGTAAGGAACAGAAAGGCAGAAACCCAGGTATTTCCTCAAACAGGACAGAGCTGTAGAAGGGGAGAACATACTCTAGTTCCTGTAAAGGACACACATGACCTCCACAGAGATCAACAGCTGTCAGCAAATCAATGCAGGTACATGGAATAAATGAGGTATAGGGGCCTTTAGTTTTACAAACTCCCATCCCAGAGATAGCTAGAACAACTAGCTTTAATACCACGAATCAACTTAATTTTCAGTTTCTTATGGTTGTTATCTCTAGCTTTGCTCTCACACTGTCAAAGTGGACCATACACACACAGGAATAGCTTACTGTTCTCTTTCCAGAAAGATCCTTTGAGGGTGATATGTGAACAGTGATCATGTTAATGCAGTGTGAAGGGTGGATGGGTGAGGTACCTCTGTCCTAGGGAACAATCCTACTGAAGTCAGACACCAACACTGTGTATGTATATGAAGCAGCCCTTCCTGCAACCCAGGTACCATGAGGATATAGAGACCAAGAAGACCTATAGGCAGTGCCTTGTCTCAGAAGAGGTACTGAGCCCTCATTAGGTGATCAAAATGACTTGAAGGGCTCCTGCTCAGAGGGGGAAGGTGATGCTTTGCTCCATCTGCTTTCCTATGCTTGGTGACATCATCCCTTCTCCTCTGACCACCTTCTCCTCGCAGCGCCGGGAGGTGGCCAAGACAGTGTTCTGCCTAGTGGTGATCTTCGCACTCTGCTGGCTGCCGCTCCACCTCAGCCGCATCCTGAAAAAGACCATCTATGACCAGATGGACCCCAACAGATGTGAACTGCTCAGGTAGGGGCCCCATCATGGTGCACCCCTCATGTTGGCAACATGTCCCTGTGGGCACTGGCAGGGACATTGTTGGGTTTATGTCAGACTCATGGAGTTGCCTTCCAAAACCCTACCTGTTTCACTGGTTCCTTTCCTAAATGTCATTGCCCTTCTAATAGGCACAGAAAGAAGGGGTTGGACACTCTGAGAGGAAGGAATTTCCCATTTTTCAAGCTCTCTGTAGTGAGACAATCTCGCCACATGGTATATGCCTATCTTCCCCTCTCCTTCCTACTCCTCACACCAGAGTCCAGTTCTGGCTAGACACTGTTGCTGCGAGTCTGAGAACAACATGGTCACACCAAAGGAAAGCAGATCCTGTGATCTTGGGTTCCTCAGTAAATGACCCTCGCAAGAAAAAGCACTGTGCAATGGGCTCAAGTACAGGAGGGCTGCTCTGTGCTTTCCTCCATGGTATCAGTCATTGGCTCTTTGTGGAAGCAAGTTCCTGGGGCAGGCAGTTTGGAAAACCTCTCTGTTCTCAGCTCGGCTTCCAGCATGTTCATCCCTTTCTTTTCCCTCCTGCCTCAGTTTCCTCCTCGTGATGGATTACTTTGGGATCAACATGGCCTCCCTCAATTCCTGTATCAATCCTGTGGCTCTCTACTTTGTCAGCCGGAAATTCAAGAACTGCTTCCAGGTAGGAGCGACCCCCCCGAAGTTCCTGGCTCTGACAACTACACACTTGGCTGGCAAAAGCCAGAGGGCTTGATCACCAGTGAGGAGGGTCTCTGTGAGAGGGGCAAGTCCAAAACGCCTGTCCAAATTGCAGAGTCTGCTGCCTGATATAAGCACAAATGTACTCAGAGATGCTGACGTGGGCTGATGCTACTTGTTCCAGTCGCCTCCTAATTCAACACACATGGCCCTGTGATATAAATCTGGATCATCCCATCCTGATGGCTGGGGGCACCGTCCAATACAGGTTGCTTCCTACTGAAGTAGGGAGTGGGTCTCCTTTAAAATTCCAGCCAGTTACTCAGATAGAATTCAAAGGGGCAGCAGAGCCCTAAGAAAGGAAGAGACAGGATGGGATGGGAGAAGATGGGAATTGCTTCCCAGCTGCTGTGGTCAAAGGAGGACTTGAGATCAGCTGAGCATTACCCATATTTTCTGTCCCACAAGAGCGAGAAAACACAACTGCAAAAAGCACCCAAAGTTTTCAAGATTTCCCGAGAGGTCTGGGATCTTTGTTTCCAATCCACACCAGCCCTAAGCTTACTCTGAAACATTCACTCCCATCAGATCAATAGGAGAGCTGGGCTCAGAACGTGCAACCTGCAGTTCCCAGCTTAATGCTGTGCAGGTTGACTTGCCAACGCTATGGCAATATTTCTCCCTCTATTACCCTGTAACCCAGCTTTGTAACTTCTCTCTCTACCTTCTTGTCTCTTCACAGTCTTGTCTGTGCTGCTGGTGCCAGAGACCAGCTCTGAGCATCACGCCAACGGATGAGAAGGGCTCTCTTGGGAAATGGAAAACCAATGGGCAGGAGCTTGGCCTGGACCGTAGCAGCTCCCGCTTGAGTAACAAGTACAGCTCTTCCTAAAGATGGGCTGCCCACAGGGCAGGGACGAGAAGGGACTGTGACAACATGGCAGGACATCTCCATTTCTCTTGCCCAGCCATTTCCTGGCTGGGCCTGAATCGTTCTTGCCTTCCTGTTATAACCCGCCTGGAAGGAGCTGCAGCAATTCACTGACCCCAGGACTAGCTCTGAATATGGCCTCCGAGCCCCACTTGTCCATCATCTGGTTCAAGTTGCCTCTGAGGGAGAGGGAAGAAGGGGATTTGAATCTGTTGTAGGGGTTTTCATTTCCCTGTAGGAAAACCAAGCAACTTAACAGCCATTTGTCTATAAGGGGGAAACACTGAGTGGGAAGATATGTGTGCAAAAAGGGAAGAAAGGTTGAGATACGATCACTTGGAAATGGATGTGGGATGGGAAGGAGAGGGTGAGTAACATGAATGGCAATTTCTAGCTGAGAAAGCAAAATCAAAGCCAAAGCTACAACTCTCATTATCTCCCTCTTTGTTCATGGGACAATTTTTCCCTGGGCAGAAAGCCAGCATAAGACCTAGGCAACAAATAGGTCTTACTGAAGCCAGTAGCCTGTATTCTCCAGCTATGATTTGGAGGGATAGGCAGCAACTCAATCTCATTGCATGACCAACCTGCCCTGAGGAACCTTCCTCTACCTGATCCTGGGAAATCTAACCTAGGCTCTCTTCCTGACAATGAAGTTCATCCCACTTGTGTATGGCACAGAAAAATGATTGCATGTGTGTATGACAGCAAGTCTTGGGGGACCAGAGATCCTTGGTAAAGCTAATGGCAACTTCCTCTAAACCATCTGCTCCAGCTTCCCCTTCCCCAAGCACAGCTTAGCTCCCTTCTAGCCAGGCACTGTAGGTGGCCCAAAGTGTTGCCCTTCCATGGAAGAGCTTGTAAATCCGGTAGAGGGAAGGCAGAGTTCTTAATCTGGATAAGCCTGGTACCAAGCCACCAGCCCTTACCTTTCAAGCCCCTTTCGTAACCAGAAGCAGCTAATTCTTTGCCTGACACAGGATGCAAGTGAGAAGATCAAGGAGTTGAGCCCTTCTCAAGAAGCACCCAGCCTTGCTCTGCAGTCTTGAACAGCGGGAAGTCCCACAGTCTTCTTCAGTCATTGCCTCCCAAGGGGACTGTCTGCAAGGCCACTGCTCTGAAAGGAAAAAAAGAGGTGACCCGGGTTTGGATCAGGGGGTCAGGATTTGGTCTTCCCCCTGCTAGCAAGGCAGGGTGGCAGTGAGGTTGAACTTCAGTATGTTTTGGCCATGGCCAAAAGCTTCTGAAAGCTTCAGGGCATTTGTAAAAAGGACAGAGATGTTTGTTCTCAAGGCCAAATAAGGTTGGAAAAGGTGATGGTGAAGGTCTGATTCCAGCCCAAATTGCTGCTGGAGCTAATGAAACACAGCAAAGAACTTTCACAAATTTACTCCTTAAAACAATTAATCCCTGAGTGGTTTTCCCAGCATGACTTTCTAAAAATCATTGAGCTTGCATCTCTTGCTGACAGGACAGGAAAACCTGCATGAGAAAATTTTAGTAACCAGGATTTTGATGCTTTTTTTTTTCTGACTTTTTTGTTCTTTTACTTCTTTTCTCCTTCCTCTTTCCATTTTTCCTCTTGTCACCGAAAAACAAGGAGAAAGGAAAAATGGAGATGAGAAAAGGCCTGCAAATAAACCTAAATATTTTCAAACCTTTTTGTTTTTTTTTTGGCTTAGCAAACACCAATTAAAAAAACGTAAAGACAGCATGTTCCCTACAGTCTCACATACCTACTAGAATAGATTTGCCCCTATCAATTTAACAGTGTCTAGCTGGCTGCATTTCTCAAAGGAAGTAAATGCAGAAAAATGACAAATCATGAAATTCCAGCACAGATGTTCTCTTAGCAGAAGGAATTTTTAAATTACTGTACTTTCTTGTTTTTTAAAGTGAATTCTACATGCTTCCACATTTGTCCACATTCCCATGCAAATGGAGCCTGTGACTTGAAATCAGTCCCTTCAGGGGCACAGCAGTGAGTGAGACAGTGGATCCCAAACTGGCAAATTCAACTCCAGGCAGCCTAACTCCCTAGCAGCCTCCTGGTGGGACATGGCAGGTCTTCTCCTAGCCAGGACCAGCACTGCTTGGTTGCTCCAGTGTGATTTGTTCCAGGTGAGCATCTCTGCTATTGCTCCTCTGTCAGTACTTCCTAGGCCTCCTGCACTCCTCTGAGTGGGTCTAGACTGCTCAGGAGGTGCCAGAGCAGCTGCTCAGTGCTGCTGGCTAGAAGGGATGGTGGTGAAAGCCAGATGGAATCCCATGACCTTTCCATCTGCTGCCACGTACATCACCAGAAGACTTCCAGTAGTTGGAAACTCTTGACTGGTTGCTTCAAACAAGGGCCTGCTTAACAGGCCACACAATGAAGATGTCCTTGGAGGTGTCAGTTCCTGTCAGGCAAACAGGTGACTAATGGAAACACAACCGTTCCAACAGGAGTTCTTTGAAAGTCTACCTCACCTGAAATGTCTGGTCATTAGGTCACAGGTTGAGCCAACAATTTTCTCTTTTGGGGTCCTCATTGCCCTGCATAAACCTGGGATATAGCCCAGGCTGTTGGGGAGTCCACACTGGCGGTCTCATAGGTGGGTAACAATCTGCAGGAGAGCAGTTTTCTTTAGAAATGGGATTCAGGAGGGATGTGGAGACCAGCCCATTGTGCCAAGATAGAAAGAGGAGGATACTTTTCTCTTGAGGAAAGAGATACTCTTGACTGGGGACACAGGAGTCTGCTGGAATAAAACCTGTGCCTCCAGCAGGCAGGAGAGAGCATCAGGCTCTGCACATCCTTCCAGTAGGGAAGCCAAGAGTGACCAACCAGTGAAATGGCAAAAGCGAGAAAGAAGTTTATGAGTTTAAAGCTGCAAACTAGTTGCTCCTGTCCTCCTTGTTGCAAAATAAAGCCAGTCCCAACTGGTAAGAGTCAACTTTTATCACAAAGGTCAAAGCATACCCTAAAGCTCCTACAACTGTTTTGACATCCAAATGCCACTTTCCCAGAGTTAGGAGGTCTCCCTTAGACAAAAAAAGAACAAGACAAACAAGTTGCAGCCCAAACAGAAAGTAACGAACATCAGAAGAGGAGGAACACATTTGCAGTCTGGTTTTAGCTGCTCATGGAAATGCAAATGCAAATAGAGCTCCTTGCAGCCAATTCCCTCTGCCCTCCACAGAGGAGAGCTGCACAGTTATGAGCTTATTCAACCTTTCCTTGCTCCTCCAGTAGAGAAGTCCAGAACAGAGGAAGCCTTGCAGCTCAGGGAACGTGTTGCTGGCACATGGCACACAGCATCCCCTGGGTGCTGCAGGAAGTGACCATTGCGTCAGTCACCAGCTGGTTTTGAAACCTCTGGAAAAAAAAAAAGTGTTAATCTCCATTATGCCTCTGCTGAGCAGTCATGGGATTGAGTCTTGGTGCAAGAGTCAAGTTCGAAATTATTCCCTTCTCTCTCTTCCCCCACACCAGGGAAATTACTTTCTTGCATTATCCTATGTGATCCCACAGATGGAGCTGTGTCTGCAGGCACGTGTTCATGCCTGCCATGCCACAGGGTGAAACTACTGCCAGGCAAAGCCCCTATTTCCCTTCCTCCATGGATCAAGCTCCAGCTTGATCCCAAGATCTATGCAAAAGCCTATTTATCCCAGGGAGAGATTTCTGCCTCAAAAAACAGGCCAGACAGACAGGATTAGCCAAAAGAAAAGTCACTGCAGCCATGCAAGGCAGCACACAACTACAGATATGGGAAAGACAAACCTATTGCAGCAGAGATGCCAAAGAGCCATACTAAGAAACGCAGCCTCCAGCTGGTTTCTCAACCTTGTCTGATAATATAGACCCACTGCCATCCTCACAGAGACCAATCATGTCAAATTGTATTTGAAAGAATGTTTTTATAGGGAAATCCTGATATTTTATGTTCTCTCTCTTATTTCTCCGTATGTTAATAAAACATGTTGGTGTTTGAAAGGAAAATCTCTGGGTGTTTCTCATCAAGCGGCAGGGGGTCTGCAAAGTCTACTAAATACTTAATTGAGTGTCAGTGGGTTCCTCTGGTAACTGCAGACCTCCACTGAGAAGACAGAGAGGTGTCTCGTGGAGCAGAGCAAACTGGAAAGGTTCACACTCCCACACCTGGCACAGAGCAGATGAACTCCTGCAATTTCAAGCCATATTACACTTTAATAAAAGGCTTCCACTCAGCCAGTTGCCAGCAAATCCAAGCAAGACTAGGGTTTCACTGCTGTACTCTTCAGACCTGCTCATCAAGGGCAGTCTGGGCTGATGTTTTTTAGAGGTTACAAAGGGCAGCAGCTTTTTTTTTTTTTTTACTCACCTCACCCCTAAGTGAGCAGAGCATCATTTTATAGTGACATGTTTAAATATGAACACTGGCCATATCTGTTCAAGTCAATTGCATGGGAGCCATGGAAACAACAAAGATTTAAATCAGAGGACAGTGCTGCCTTTCTAAAAGCCTGACGTTACTGAAGTGAATTCTGTGCACCAGACTGCACCAACATGCACAGGTCTGAAAATGCTGGACAAGAAATGGCAGCAGCATTGGGGGAGGGCAAGACATAACACAGAATAGTGAAAGATGAGGAACTGCCATTTGGCTAACTCCTTCTGTACCTGCATTGAGCTAAACACAGTGACACCTCTGCAGGTTCACACTTCACACTTTATTATTAGAAAAAATACAAATTTACTTCAAAGTGGTCATAGAAAATAACAAGAAACTCTTGACATGGGGAATTCAACACACACTCACACACATGGGCTATGCACATTATCCACAGGGACTGTCATCTCCAGATGCTACTGCATCTCTTCCTTCCTCTGGGCCCTGTATTCCCTCATGCTCCTCTGCAAATAAGAGCAAAGGACAAATGTTAACAGTGTATGTCTGAGGATTTCAAACACAACAGCACCACCACCTTGGTCTGTGTTGCAGCTTCTCAGTCAAATGCCTGGAAAAGTGGAGGGAGTGAGGAGGCTTTGACAGAGCTCCAAATACTTGGTGCAAGAACATATGCAGCAGCTCCAGTTCCAGCTCCCAGGACCTCCTTTATGGATTCCACATCTGGGTGTTCTGCCCAAATGCACCTCTAGGGGCATCATTTAGAGACATGTAGTCCCTAGACCATCCATGGGGTATGACAGGGGCCGGCAAATGCCGTGCTTTCGTGGCTCAAGCAAATGCCCTTAGGGATGCTTTGGCACTGGTGCTGCTTCTCAACAAGAAGGGAAAGGCTCAGAAATGTTCTCATTTCAGGGAAGAGACCAGAAGCCTCATGAGAACTTCCTCCCACTACCTGCACGAGTTTCTGTTCCTTAGCTCTCTAGCAACAAGGGAATCTGGCAGAAACAGACATGGAGAAATTATAACCTCTGCTGAATCTCAAACAAAAAAATCTATCATTAGAGGACCCACAGGGCTTTGCAGATACTCATTTCTCCTCTCCCTCAACCTTAGGGGATGAAACAGTGATGTGAGACCTGGCAAACCGGAGTCGAGTCAGGGTCAGCTAGAGAACCTCTGAAAATACTGTCATGTTTTCATGTCTGAAGTGCCTAGAACGCCTCTCAGTGCCAATAACAGATCTCAGCATATCCCTCTCCTCTCTTGGACCAGAAGGTAGAAAAGGTCTCTGAGTTTTTAAGGTAACAGTCTCACCTCAAAGGTGTTGAGGACGTGCTGACAAACACCCATCAGATCGTTCAAGCCTTTTCGGAATGGCTCAACAGCTGGAAGGGACCCTTTGGGAAAGAAGATACATTGGTGAAATGGGAGGTGGCTGCAGAGGAGTTCGGCAACCTTCCCTGACACATAGTGGCAATGCAAAGGAGTTGGTCCCTCGACAGGGAGAGGCTCTCATACCAGCACCTAGGTACATGCCCACACACTTCTCCCCTCCCAGACTGCCAGCAACAGCTGGAGAACTGAGTACAATGTCATGGTCCACCCTCTGGTCCAGAGACAGTAGAAAAACTTTCTCATGAGTTGTGGGATTGTCATAGCAGCTACGTAAGTCAGTACATCTTGGCTTTACTTTCCAGACCCCATACTTACTTAGGGGGAAACGCAGCACCCATCACTTCCGACTGTAACTGGCAAATCTATTCCACCCCTGCACTACAGTTCAGTGATTGCTGCCAGTCAATCTGGCACCAAGGAAAGCCATGCATTCCCACATCCTCAGCTGCTAGGACACTGCTCGCCCTTATAGTCAGCTAACAGAAAAACGGTAACAAAAAGGTTCAGTAGAGGAGGAAAATAGTGTTTTCCTTCCTTTTTTACAAGCCACGGTTGAGGCCTGACATGAGCAGGGGGAATCCTGCTCCCCAGCACAAAGGCAACATGTGCACATACCCCTGGTTTGGATCCGGAAGTTAATCTTGCTTTCAGAGGGGTGAGTGATGCAGTAGCCACAGAACTCCACATCTGGGCTGCAGGAGAGAAAGAGAGCAGTGAAACGCATGTAAGATCAAAGCAAATCTCAGGAATTTGAGGCTCAGGCAATCCCAACAGCTAGCAAACCTGCTGGGTCTCAAGACGTTTCTGGGTCTTATAGGTGACTGGGTCTTATGGGAGGGGTGCATGAAGGGAAACTAACTACCTGTGCAGCCTCGTTCATGTTTCTCATCTTTCTAAGCTGTGGCTGGAGCTTTGCAGGTGAAGGATATGGCTGGGCAAAAGTGGCTGAAGGGACAAGAGCACCACAAGGATTTATTCAGCGGGTTTGCAGGCTGCATGGCACCTGCCTTTGCACCCAGAGGTGGCTCCACTTGGGAGAACATCTATGCGCTTAGCAGAGAGAACAGCCCCTTGCAAGGATTTTGCTGCCTTTCTCATCATGACAATGTATCAGGAATTCACATGACATTTGCCATTTAGCTGTCATTTGAGATGATCTTTTCAATTCTCTGCCCTAATTCTTCTGAGGCTTAAAAGGAACTCTTCACAAACCCTCAGTGCTGTCCATTTCAATAAAATTACATGACCGGTGTGACCTTATCTGCATATTTTGTTGAAGGCAGACAAGTATTTAATTCCCAACATTAGCTCTGGGTCTCCAAGTGAGTAAGAAAGATTATCAATTTGCATAATACTAGTTAGTCCTGCCCTTGCTCCTGAGGTGCCACATCCCAGGAGGAGACAGAGAGACTCTCTGACCACATGCTCTTACATGGATTTGGTCCAAGACTGGGATCAGGCACTGGAAAGGCCTTTGACGCTGCATGCCTGATAAAGAACCTAACAGATGTGCATAGAGGCAGTTTCTGACCAAATACTTTGCTCTAGCAAAAATTAAGATTCAGTTTAGTAAGGAAAAATCCAAGGTAGAAGAGAGAGGGACACTTGACAATGCCAGGCCCCACTCCACTTACTTTTTCATGACCATGTATCGCAGAGAGTTGCCAAGTGTGTGATCCTCATCGTGCAACACAAATGTGACACAGTTTCCGTCTGTCCCATCTGCCTGGACCTGCCACAAATTGGGAAAGTGGAGATGCTGTAAGGTACTTGGAGGTAATAAAGGCCAAGCCTGGAGCGAAGAATAAATTACTGTGTCCAACTAAACGAGCTGCATCAGGATAAAGAAAAATGGGCCGAGAAAACAATATTCAATGCTGTTTCAGCAAACTGGGCTCTCAGGGCAGAGCCTGCTCTGGAGGCACTCCGTGTGTGAGCCCAGGTCATATGCTGCTAGCTACCTGCAGACAAGGAATCTGTCTTTGATGCAGGGAGTCATAAAACACAATTTAATGAAAGATAAATATTCATTATCAGGAAGCCATAGAAGTCTCTCAAGGAGTCAGCCGGGCGATGCCCTGAGAAGGGCAGTCCTCTCAGGGAAGAATCAGGAATGCTCTGAAATTGCACGTAGCAGCCTGCACACTCTAAGAGCTCCCCCAGCACCACTGCACCAGACAGGAACAACTGCCTACGAGCCCTAAGAGGGCCAGGCCGTCCAAGGAGAGCCTACTTACCACAGCACTTCATTAGGAACATGACTGGGGGGTTGTTCAGAGTGGCAGAGACTGGTGCCAGGGCCAAGAGAAACCACAGCTCAGCTCATGCGAGGGAGAGCAAAAGAAGCCCGTGACTGACCTGCCTCCTCAAGCGCCCGCGAGCACCGCGCTGAGCGAGCGCTTCCTGAGCAGCTCGCTCGAGATCCTCTGCAAAGCCAGCAAGCCACTTAATTAATCACTGGGCTGTCAGAGGGCTGCTGAGCCCTGACCCTTCCCCAGGCTCAGCGCAGCCACCATGGAGCCTGTCGTGCCCCCGCGGCCCCCAACCACTTCCTCTCTCAGCAGCAGAGAGAGGTTTCAAGGTTAAGCCTGGAGCCAGGCCCAGACGAGCACTGAACTCTTCACATCCTGCCTGCAGCCAGTCCCGACTGCTCCAGGAGATTTATAAGCCCTCCCGTTTCCCGTCATGCAGCAACACCCCCCACAGCAACCCCATTCCTCCTCCTGCCAGACCCGCAGCACCAGGAAGGGTGGGCTCCCCACACTGAACCATCCCAAAAGGGTAGAGGTGACACAGAAACATTATAGTGACAATGGAGGCGTTGGACTGATATGGCCTGTCATCCCCCAGCATCTTGCAATCCACTCCTGCGATCAAGTGAGTCTCACTGACAGGGAGAATAAGGCAGTAGCCAAACCACTTCCCCCTGGTGCACAAAGACAGCGTGTAAGTGACTTGCCAAAGGTCACTTGGGCATGGATGTGGCACCTTGCTGCTCTTCCAGTTTCTAGACACAGTATCCTTCCTCCCTCTTTCTCACAGAACCTTACTCTGTCCTACCATGAGGCCCCCAAGAAAGTATTTATTAAGATCAATATTCCCACTAGTACTTGAGAACTTGTTTTCTTTCTCCAGTCTCAGGCAAGAACAGACCGAGTGCTCACTCAGTCCAGTTTGCTCCCTGCATCCAGTCACAGGATTAGGAGCGTGCCAAGCATGCGCCAAAATCTCAAGCACCCCCACAAGACAGATGCATTTGAGCTCTCTGGGACAGCAGCACACCTCTAATTCAGTCACAGGATGGGTGAGAAGCCTAAGCACAGAGCTGTCCCATATTCCATAGCTCACAGACAACTCCAGCACTGCTCAGGGCTGCTCCAGGGTCTCCACTGCCCCGCACCTCCGCGTCGAGCGGCAACAGGCATGACCTGAGTGATGAATCCAGCACTGAGCCGTGCTGCAGGTGGACCCAGCCAGCTGTATTTGTATTATCCTTCCTTTGGGTTAATAAAATAAAATAAATAATAATAAAAAAACACTGTGGAGCAAGGGATCCACACAGCGCTTCTAACTGCCCGCTGCAGCCAGGCACAAAAGAGGAAAGCACATTAACTCCATTTTGCAGTGGGGAACCTGGGGAATTCCTCTATTAGGAAGGAATTCCTTGCCCAGATTCCTTTATGAAGGCCCTGGCCCAGCAGTCACGCTGTCTCGCACCGGACACGGCCGCTCTCTGACGCTTCAGGGGAAAAGAGCCACGTGCCCTGGAGCGGCCACGCGGCCCAGGCTCCCTCACACACCAGGAGGCAACAAGGTTCCTCCACCCCACGCGCGGCCTCCAGCGCCCTTAGCTCCAGCTCCAGCCGCCTCAAACCGACCCAATCCCGCTCCCACCGCCCGCCCGGGAGCCGCGCGACGAGGCCGCCCCGCTACCCCCCAC